TATTTCTCTTTGTACGATTTGATCTCGTAAAGTAATGGATGAAATTACGTTACATATTTCGTAAATAATTATTACAGTTTTCATTTTCGATCTATTACAGGCAAATCACACTCCCACTCTCTCGCACTAACACACAGTTCGAAAATCGGACCATTGGTTCAGAGGTTATCGGTAAAGTAAATTTTACTTATTTTGGTGCTGCCACGTGGTGGCTACAAATTGTACTAGTGTCGGGACATTTAGCCTTAACAGCAAGCGTTTTTCAGAGACGGACGGAGGATTGGGGTCAGTATATTTTCCGGTACGAAGGATCCACAAATATGGATTCTGGCTACACCATGTGTTAGGGTGTGCTTTTTTTATTATTATTATTATTATTTAATGTACTAAATTTAGCAATTGGATTTAATTAAGGCCCTGAAAGTAGTTTTTCTGCGCGCTTAGCTCTTTAGACGTAGCTCTTTGTCTTTAGAGGCCTCGAAAGCAATATTTTAGAATCCTATCAAGCACAGTTTCCTAGTTACATTTATTTGTGTATCAAGAAAAGGATGAGTTGCGGGTTTGCATGTCGATGCCAAACCTGCCCCTTTCAAATTATCAGAAGTTTACATGGGACTACTTACGAAAAGTTGTGGAATAGAAATGTATACAATTATCAACAAACATTCCCTGAGACTTCATAATAAACTTATAAAAAGAAGTTAATATACCAAATTACGCGCAAAAGCGCCAAAAATATCTGGTGGATTTGTGTAATGATAATTATTCTAAGTTAAGGTGTTTGCTGTGGTCTATAAACAAAGTACTCCAACGTTTGTAGCTCTAACAGGACCAATTGAAAATCACGATGTCTTCTGGAAATAGGAAACCTTTATTATTATTTTCAAAGTATTTTTATATAATTAAATTATCTTAAAATGTATAAAATTGTAGTTAAAAAATTAATGTAAATCTAGAGACGGTAAAATGCTAGCAAATTTACAAAATTTTAACGTGTTCGTTTATGGTATTTAACACAGATAAACCCTTACTTCTCGTACACCCGTCACTAATTCCTTTGATAAACAATTTACTTGTATCAGAAAACAAATTTATACTAATACATTGGATATAAACACGTGTCTAAAATAAAAATCTTCAATTTTACTTTCACGTATACACGTACGTCTTGTGTATACGGAGTAATATATGTAGTATTGAGAAAGTTTTGTAAGGCTGCGGAAAATCCGTTTCGAGATTTCAACGGAAATACACGTTTTGCGATCCCCTGATACCGAAAAAGTGACTGTTTTCAAAACGTCCGTCCGTCTGCGAACACTACTAGCGCCGTAACCATACGCAGGTTTTTTTCCAAATTGAAGAAACCCCTGTCATTCTGGCTCGAGTCGAAGCTTTGAGCTTTTGAAAAATATTCTATAAAATTTGGAGACTTTTTTTGAAGCTCCCCGGGCATTTTCAAAATTTTCGCAAAAATGGCTCCAAATTCTATAATTCCATTTTCGTTAAATTCCTTGTAAGAACAGTAATATATACACTTATAAAGGTGGCACAGGACCGATTTTCCCTGTTAACTTAGAATTTTCGAAAACTGCAAGAGTTTTGATTTTTATTCGGCGACTTCCTACAACCAAAATATTTCAAGATAGAATTTTTTCCCTTAAAATGAAATTTGTTCTTCATAATTAGTTCTTACAAAAAGTCATGTAATTTTTATTAAACTTTTAGTAGTTTTCGCGCAATATTGCATGTAATGTGTGGTGTGCAATTAAAAAAAAAATACAAAAACAATATTTTTTCAAAAGCTCCGAATTTTTTCTCTACTCGTGGTGGAGAATGCTAAATGTACTCTACAAGATGACATAAACTGCATTTATTGTTGTTTTTTAAAATACAAAAACAAAATTTTCTTCCATCTCAGAACGTTAATATTTACAATCACTGCGATTTGTTCACATGATTGTATTTATGTGTACATGTACTTTAAATAATGTCAAGTAAAGTTTCTGGAAAATTCGAGTTTCCTGTGAAAATGAGCTCAAATTTCTGCATTTTCAGAAACGCTCAAACGTCATTTTCTAAAAATTGGCTCCAAAATTTTTCTTCAAACTTTTGAACGGGTAGTGGTAATTGCACCGTTTAATACGTGAAGTTCATTTGTGGGTATTATTTCTATTTACACAGATGTAATTTTTTTGAAGTATCTCTCACACTGTTAATGTGCATTTTTCCAGCAATTTGTAAACACTGCTTCATTTGTGAGTTGAAGTGCTTTAAATGTTTCCTAGTAAAGTTTTTCGATAACTCAAACTTTTTTTTTTTTTTTTGTTGCAAAAAGAAGCTTCTCATTGTGCATTTATAATAACGCTTAAAATGTCATTTTCTTAAAAACGGCCCCCAAACATTTCAATAAAAATTGCCACTTATGACGAGTTTTACTCTTATTTAATATCTTGCAATAATATTTCGCTCCTACTATTAGGAAATGGAAATATTGAGAAAATTTATAAAACAACGTACTTTTGACGGCGATAGATGGCAGCTAGAGTACGTAGCAAGTCCTAATAGCTAGCTCAGACCAAATTATATAGAAAACTAATACGAGAAAGTCTGTAGCATTATTAGTTTTTGTCTAATAATTATGTTCAAAATGCATTTTCAATCTGTTGGACAGATGTATTTGACGAATCTAATGGTTAAAGAAGGGACATGGGCTCAGAACTTGTTTCAGATTTCCTCAATTAGCATATTGATTGCGAGAGGGGGGGGGAGTTTGGTTATTTTGACAAAGGAAATTTTATGTCATATTTGTAGTTCGTTTTTCAATGCAAAATATTGTTTATTGCACGGGCGAGAACATTGCTGGTTTGTGTACAACGCTCGTTGCTATCATTTATTCTCAATTCAACTAATGTTGGCAAAGGAGTGGGGGGAGATATTCTGGCTCAAGGAAACGTGCGCGTATAATATATGTAACATATGTTGGTTTAAAGACCGTGGACTCCCAAACGGCGATTTCCAGTCATCAGCCTCGTAATTTCGAAGTGTGTCAACGAGAAATGTCAGTTTCTCTTTGACCTCCTTTCATCTGTCCTTGAAAACAAACTTGATAATCGTTATAATTGATGCTGCCCGAACTATTGAAACATTCACTATCTATATTCAAATTATCACTATGTATTCTCTATATTAATCTCGTTATATATTGTCATTATTTTCCACTGTCAATTCGAGGAGCATGACAACGAAAGATGCAAGTTAAAGCCTATGGTTGTAGTTATTTATGTTCCTAGGGCTAAGTGTCATTTTATTTTGCGAGTAGGAAATGTTGCGAAACGAAGCCGATAGGTCGAGTCCAAATAGCAAACTAAAATCACTTTTACCATGTGTGCCATACACTATTTTTTTTGACAGCTTTACTTACTTTCATTTCATTGTTATTGAACAAGTCCCTGAATGGCACATTTAGGCCAGTAGTAGCTCATGCGGTCTGCGACAAATTTATCTGAACACTTGAGCTTCGTCTTTTATCACTGGTGCTAAAAATTTAACTTTTTAGCATGCTCAGCACGCGGTCCTGAAAGAATCGGATTTAGTAGCGGCTGCCTAAAACAAATAATTCAGCTTACGCAAGGTGAATTAAATATTTATTAGTCAATTGAACTTGTCTTTGGCTTGTTATTAAAGGGAATATCTGTGTGTGGGGAAAGAATAGTTCGATACTGTGAAAATAAAAGGAGGCACAACCTGAACTCGAAATGTCTTGGACATTGTACAAACTTAAAGGAGTAAATTCAATTCAGTCGCTTTGACATTTGTCTTGTATGAATCATTCTTTGAAGCTGACATTGTCGCATTTACTCACCTGCTGGTGTAGTCTCAGGAGGCTGTGGATTGTGAACATTGTTGTTTCACGTTGGATATCACTCAAAATATTGTTCCGTAATCTTCGAATTGTTGCCCAAAGCAGTCAGTCTCAAATATATTTTTGTCAACACAACACGACTTCAACGAACTACATTCGCCAGAATTTCCTTTCCTTTCCTCCGTCCGTCCTGCCGCTGCACACACTGACATTGTAGGAACTGCGGTAGTAGCGGTACTTTTATTTCCGCCATTATGCTACTCGGAGCGATAAGATGTGGTAATCACTTTTCCTCGTTTGTTCGGGTCATTCGGGCCTCGCCATATCCGTGGACTTGATTCTGGCCAGTGTCCCAATTATCTCGTATTTCTAAAAAGCCGTGTTCGAATAGGGTAAACCTTTATACGTAGTGATTCACAGAAAGTATTGTAATACTGCAAAAAATTGATGACAGGATTTTGATGCAAATACCCGGTTTGGGATAAGGTTTCAGTAGGTTAGACAGTATTGATGATACAATAGGGACAAGTTTGTTGTCGAGGTTAGATGAAAGGACAGCAAAGAGGACCAATCATGATAATTACTTTAAATGAAAAATGCAAGAAATATAATAAAATTTTGATTTGAATGTGTGCTTAAAAATTAATTCAAAATAAAATTGGGAAGATATCTACAATAAATACATGTACCACACTTATGTGAATAATGTCTTTATCCATTTACATGCTCAGGAGCACTGTTCACTCAATAAAACAACCAACACATCAATTTAAAAAAACAAACAAAAAAAACAAAAACAATTGCCCTTGGGATAGAAAAACATGTTTCTGGGGATCATGTTCAATGAACTTGTCGTTGTCCATTGACACACTGCTGCAGTCTGCATCAGAATGAATAAAGGAAGTACCTTCATTCATTCTTTATTCAAATTCATTCGTTATTCAAATTCTTTATTCAGTTGATTAATTTATAATTTTTTCACTAGTTCTTCATAACCTATGTGAGAACACATAACATAGATGTTGTTTACATCAATTTTTTTTGTAATACAGAAAAGAAATATCAACATAAGGTGAATTAATGAGAGATAGAGAGAGAGAAAACCTAACCAATCTTAGTTTATGTTCCATGCTTCCAGGCACAACACCTTACAAGAGCTGTTGCCACATTGCTTAAATTCACCCCTGAAGAGGAACGATTGTTACGAGAGACACTGGAATGGAAAATGTCCTGGTTTGGAACTCGACCGTCCCTGGGAATTGGGCAAACCTCAAAAACAATACCTCCTAGCTGATAGTTTGTATAATTAGGTAGTCTCCTGTGACTGAATACATTTGTTCACCACCATATTTATTTGTTCAAGGATTGCTTTCTGGTGGCTAATGATATGGCCACTAGTTAGCTGAATTGAGGAGATAATCTTATCAGTTTTAATACTGAGAAGTTATGAATACTATGATCATTTTTGTTTTTTCATATTTTAAACACAATATTGAAGATCATTAGTTGTGGCCACGTTTTATAGCTGATATTCAAATTCACAAAATTTGTGAATATAAGAACTTTTGTATAGACTGAGAACAGTAGTGTATCTTTCATTATTAGAGGTTATTTCATTAGGTAACCGATTTAGACCAAAATTCTAAAAATGTTTTTAGTTATCACATGTTTTGTTGGGAGGAGGATTTCATATTTTTGAACGAATATTAAATAACTATTGTAAAAAAGGGATAAAATTGATGATCATTTATGTTGATTTGTATTCTGGCTTTTCATCTTCCCCATACCTTTGTGATAGAAACATTGTGTTCTGTTGAATTTGTGTGACTGATAATTTTATTGTTAAACTTGCAACTTGCATTTGCATCAAATGGTTATTGTAAGAGGCATATTTTTAATCCATTATTCTGTATAAAGATTAAGAACATTATATATTTATTTTTTGCCTACTCAAAACAACTTCAGTAATTTTTGTTGATAATTTTGTATGATTACCTTTTACTCCATATTCATATTTATTGATATCGATTGAAACTTGTTTTCTAGGTTAGTATTTAAAAATTGCTTGCAAGAGTTCTTTAAAGAGTATATAAAATATAGATGTAAAAAATGAAGTAGGGTTTTGTTTGTGCTTTTCAATTTTAATGATCTTTTTAAAGATTGTTCTGACTGCTATTCTGCTCATATTGCAATGGTTTGCAAGTGGTGCCAAAGTTCTGTAAGCTTTCATTATTTCAGTATATTGTTTGATATCTGGGGTTTCATGTCATTGCAGAGAAAGGATGTGTTCCAAATATCATTTGCATCCAACATAATTGTGTTGAGCATCACAAATTAAAATATCAGTGTACTTTGGAACAAAAAGTTTTGATTGTACACCATACCCTTGTAATACTTTGTACATACTTTTACATTTCCCCTTTAGGGAGAATATTCTGTGAATATGTATTGTATTATCATGAAAATTAAAAGATCATTTAACAAGAAATCTAACTATAGTAAATGTATTTCATTGATTTTAATACTGTTTCTAGAAGCCAAGTTGATTTTCTACATCTTTGTATTAAATAAAAAGTACAACTTACATTCATACTTTTTTTCACAAGATTTAAACTGGGAGCCATCAGAAAAAACCACGCTTCATCAATTCCTCGAAATATTTTGACTGATAGCCAGGATCAAGATGAACTTCAAAGCGAATGTATGGCGGTCCCTGGTGGTTTCTGATGGAAGAGAGGAATGGACTCCTCACACATTTTTCTCTTTTGAATGTAAATTCCAAATACAATACTCGTTCATGAAGGAAGGAAAATGTATGCTTTTTTTATGCCATAGTTATCGGAAATTCTTTCATGGAGTTTAAAAGCGCACGCTTTTTAGGCGATGCGAAAACTGGAAAATCGCTTAGAGGAGGAAATCTCAGCGTTTCCTTCTCTCGTGTAATAATGGACCGTATGGCATAGCGCTGCGGCGGCAAAGAAAAGACACTTTTTTTAAGTAGTTTATGCGGCATGAAAGGAGGAGATCCTCCTGAAGAATGCCAACTATTAGAATTAAATAAATAAATGGGCAAATCGAACCGATACGTCTCTCTCTCCCTTTTCCAATCCCAAAGCCTAGACACAGTGCAATAACTAAACAAAGCATTTTGATACTGAGGCAGTGAAGAAGGCTTGCATAGAGAAAGCGTATTGTTCTTGCGATCCCTAGATATGATGGTGTGATAACAGTCGTGTGTGGTGTTCGGTTCCGAGTTTCTTCCCTAGAATTGTAAGATTTTTTCCAGTGATATTAAAAAAATATGCCGTGGAATTCAGATGCGCGAAAAATCTTGATTGTTCGTTAAAGTGAACACACTCTGGTAAAAACGAATACCGCATTGATTTGGCCTTAAAAGGAGGTACTAGCAGAATTCTTCCAGTGACGATACTGCAAAGGTTACGAATTTCATTTACATTCAATAGAATTGGCATGACTTCTTTCGTCTTAAGAAACCTGCACGAACCGCCCCCGGCGGTCCCTTATAAAATTTTCCTTGGGCGGTGCAATTTTAGGAGTAAAAAATATGTTTGAAGAGTGCTTATTGTTTAATATTTTTCGATATATTTCGATAATGCCTAAGCGAGTCATACGCGCATGGGTGACCAGAAAGGGGGTAGCAACTTGCCCCAGGTCCCAACTTAATTTTAAGCCTCGATTTTGTTTTACTGAAACTAAATAAAAAATAGATTTATCTCTAGTCCAAATTTAACGCTTCGTGTAAGTTCTTTCTGAGGCACGGGGAAATTAATTCTGTTTATGAATTGGAAGAGGAGGGGACTTTTTGTTTCAAAAGAGGGGCCTGCGAATCAACTACTCCACATTTTGGTATTGGCAGAACTGACTGAACATTGGTATGGCGGTGGGTTCTACTACCCGCCGTGTAGAGCAGAATTGACGTTTTTTCGTAAAGAAATAAATCTGTAAATAAATCTCACTGAACACCGCGTTCGCGTGCTAATTGGCTTCATAGCACTGCCAGTCGCGTCAGCGCAAGAACTACGTGAGAGTTCACTGGTCACTTACCTGTGATAATGTTTTACAGAAAACATACGGTAAGTTTATATCTTTCTAAATATGCATATTTTGTTTATATTTAGTGTGTAATAATTATTGGTATTTTCGAAATAACAGGATCGCAAGCAAGAAAACTAAACTGTTACACTGATTAACTTTCTCATTTACGTGCATATGTGGTCTTTGTATATTGCTGCGGAAAAACGATTTCGAGATCTCAAAGGAAATACAAGTGCAATTATACCGGAAAAGTGTTGTTGGTTGTGTTTTAATTTACTCTTTTCAATACTTCCGTGCATCTACCTTTCTGTCCGTTTGTCTATGCACCTAAACTGTTCATAGGTTTTTTTCCACAATGAATATTCCCTAATCAACATGACTCGAATAGAAGCTCTTACGATTTTGGAAATATTTATTTTACTTGTGAGGTGTTTACCTCACAATTCCTCCCTTGGGGTTCTCCAAATGTTTTGTTTAAATTTCTTGTAATGGTACTAGTACACTTATAAAGATGGCATAAGTTCGATTTTCACTATTAACTCTTAAATTTTCGAAAATCCCGATGGATTAGAATTATTGGACCCGTACCCCTACGAATTAATGAGCACGTACGGCCATTCGCTTTTATCAGCACCCCCTGCCGATGTACAAGTACGCCGAGAGGTTGATATCCGCATCCCGTCGGAACGCAGTTTACATTCACGGCAACCTTCCCGTTCAATGCCTGGGTTGGGCCCGACCAGCCATCTAAGGGCTACTAGCTGTCCAGGCGAGTACCGGAGCTGAACCAATGCGCCGGGACAAGTCCCTCTTCGCCCAGATGGGGCCACGGCCAGGTCGAAGCCAAGAGCCCATCAGGAGGCCGCGAATTACAGTTCGGGTGGCTCAGGCGCTGCCCTTCCCGTCTCCTCGCTGCCTCCACCTTGAGGTTATTGGCGTGAGTACCTCCAGAACCTATCTGCTCCCCGTCGGACCTCTGTGCGTGGGGTCCGAAGCATTCAGAAGAACCTCCTCCTGGACAAACGGCAGAACGGTGAACGCGCAGATCCTACCTGATTCCCAATGGAGGGCACGACTATGGATTCATTACCAACGTCCGTGTCGTGCTCGTTCGTTTTCATTTGTCTGGCCCTCATATTAGTCGACATGAGTTAGCTTTCTTGAGGAAGTACGGATATGAACCTCAAATCCAAGTGACTGACAGCCATGACAACAAGTCTTATGACGTTGGCAGGCGAAGGTTGCGCGTCCGTAATGTGTAAAATACATTGTAATATGAGAAATTAGATGTTCTCTTTATTAAAATGTAATACCCAAGGAGTATGTTGTGCTTGGAGATAATTGTATATGGAGGATAAATATTTCAATGGAATTAATCACAAACAGATTTTTTGAAAATAAACATTTATTTACGAATTTCCCAATTATGTTAATTCTTCTGCTCAGCAGAAGACATACCACGAGGAGGCTGTTGCACTGTTGAAAATAATGGTAAGTGTATTTTTAGAAGTAAGTATACTGAAATTTGAAAAGGATCAAAGTTTATATGGAAAGGCACTACTTGCTACGCATTTTATACTGCTTCAGAAATCTGGGAACATGTACTGAAAAAAAGTAATAACCTGCCAGGTACTAGTTATCCATGCTACATTCTGATTTTCAGCCTCAGCTTATACCATGCAAGTAAATTGCGAGGTAATATCAAATGATATGGTTGAATAAATTCAATTTTCCTCGTATTTTTTCACATGTTTAAAAGTTATAATCTTATTTAATATTATTGCCTAATAAACACAGAACGTCAGTGAGTCACAATGCTATGGAATGAACACTCACTGTTCTGATGAGCTATTAATATTAGGAACGAATTTTCATGTATCTCGGCATTTCATCCACGCCTACGATCAAATTCATAATACAGAACAATCAACAAGAATTGTAATAAAATATACTCACTGTCAAAATTTAAACGTACCCTGATTTTGACATTACTTCTCGTATTTTATCACAAATTAGATGTATGACTGAGTTTCACATTGTCCACTTTAATCACAAAAGTCACTTCAACACTAAACCAATTATTGATGATCTAAAGTGAAACAATACTTTTATTTTGCTGACGATGCGTGATTGAGGAAGCCGTTTGTTGCAGGAAAAGAGAAGAGGCGTTGTTCGTTGTGTTAATACTGTAGTTTCTTCGCATCGTGCTGGATAACTCTACGGTGTCATTCCCGGACTACAAGGAGAAGATCTTCTATGACGAGAGTCCATCAAGAACCTTTTCGACGTCCGCGAAAATCTCCTCCGGAGAGCGCTCGCCATTGATCTGGAAACACGAAAGTGGGATGTTAGCAGTGATGCAAGTACATCTGAGTCGTGAATGTTAGGCATGGGGGGAGGGTGAGAGAATTTTCTTTTATCAGAAATCTCACGCCAATGTTAGCTGCGAGAAATAAGGGTTTTAAGACAGATATGACCTGCTGAGATAGCTTAAGGCAACAACTCTTGTCACTGCAGTGTTTCTGACCTGGAGATTTTCGTTCCGAATGTGGTTCGAATCCGACATGTGGTTCAGCAATCATAAATCATTCGTATTAAAAGACCCAAGAAACTGATATGACGCGAAGAATGCAGTGGCGGCTCACGGATTTTTATTCCGGAGAAGCCAGCAAGATGCTTTTTAGACAGCCGCTAGTAAAAGTTGTAGCGTGCTAAACGTTCGATGTTTAGCTTTAGTGCTGAGAGTCGATGCTCAATCATTCAGATAAATTTGTGAATTCATCCAAGAAAACAAAATCCTTTCGTTTGACCGCACCAACTTCTACAGACCTTAACGAACCTTAAGTGATGTGTGAACTCGAATTAAAATAAAATTAAAATAAGACTGCCTAAAAAATAGTGTATGATAGACGTCGTAAAAGTAATTTTATTTGGTAGTAGGATTGCGCCACTTGGCCTATCTGTCTGAAGTCGCAACATTTATTTCCTTCTCACAAAATAAAATGTCGCTTTTATCACTCGTATCATAACTAATTTCAATTACATTTCTTCCATACAACCATTTATAGCTATTGTTACACGTCTGTTGAAACGACCCACTTTTTTCATCTTTTTGTAACATGGATACTTGTGAAACAGGTCGTTCATATCTTAAAAGTTGTACGTCTCTCAAAATATTCTTTGAAAGCTCCAATAAATTAAAAATTGAGTCATTTTCAGAGCATTTAAAAAAATGAATTATGTTTTTCGGTTTTTAGTGAAAAATGTGCTATTTAAAAACACAATACATTAAACTGACTTCCTGAAGTAAGGAACTACTTTACTGTAATTCGCCCTACTTTCTAAAAGTACTTCATTGAACTCTCTTCAATAAGTACATCCTTACTAGAAATCTCTGCTTATAAACTTTGCTCGATAAATGAATAAACGAATGCGATTACCATATTTGGTTCACACTGGCGTGTGACTTTTTAGCATGCCACTCGTCGAATTGAATCATAATTACTTTGAACCCAAAGTTCTAGAACTGGCTCAGATGTGACAACACCCGTTACTGTTGTAACGACTCTTATAAGAGATCTATTCGGAGGTCCTGGAGATCGATCGACGGTGGATGATTTTCATTACTATGTACATTGGTAGTACGTGGGACTCAACCACTGTAGGGAGGAGACTTCTAGCTGCTGCCAGCTGCTATGATCGGTTGTATACCGATGAACACCAGACGAATGGCGGAACGGTACTCAACAAAATGGGCCACGGACCCCGCGCGATCTCTCCTTCATACTTGTCCCTCCCTGTCTCCTTACACACATGCACTACATTACCGCACTTAACGGGAGACGTCAGAAGCTCAGCGCGCCTCTCAGATGGGCGTTGCCCCGCTGGAGGTGATACGAGCAAACTCCGCAAACTCCCGTACCACCTGCCCGCTTCCTATTGGTGGGCTACTTGGCCAATCCCGCCCTCCCCTTCTGCTCCGTATAAGGCCAGCGCGCTAGCCATCTGGCAGCAGTACGCACTGAAGGAGGCCACAATACGCTCGCCGAAACGTTCGCCACCATGTCAGTGACGCAGCTCGTCCCGGATAGCATAGACAACACAGACTCCGGCAGCGGAAGCCTACGCAACCAACCTCTCATTCGCTCACTCATTCATTCCAAATATTCGCCCTCCCTAAGCCTCGCCGCCTCAGATGCGAGCGAGTATTTCGCGATTCCAGGCGCGTCAGCTACTTTGGTTATTCATCTCGTGAGGTAGTGGATGTTGTGGACACGAAGTGACGGAGTTCCCATCACGCTGCAAGTAAGATCCAGCACCGACCGACCTGTGCCGGGAGACGAGTGTGGAAGACCATGCGCGCACTCGGTCATTAGTGACAGTCAAAGCCCGGCCCTAGGTTACGAGCACCACGTTTCCACACGTTTAAAGAAATCAGAGCTCCACTATGGCTGTTCCTGTTCTTTTGTATGGCAGTGAATAGGGGATAATTAGAGAGACAAAAGGAAAATTCAAGTAGCTGATATAAGAATCTCCAGGAAAGTTAAAGTCTTATCCAAATATGATCTCATAAGAAATTAAGTTCTGAATTAAGAAAAAGTTAATTAAGAAAAAGTTCTGGATATTTATAACATAAATGAAGAAATAGAAAATTATAAATATTCTTGGAGGCAATTAAATCCCCCATTTGGCAATATTCTATCGATCCACTGGCAAAAGTTGATGTTTGAAGACCTAAGAAAAGGGGGCGAAAATAATAATAATAATAATAATAATAATAATAATATTATTATTATTATTATTATTATTATTATTATGAAACGAAAGAATATTATGAACATGGAACAGGCACGTGTGCCTACCCCTTGAAGTGGAAAAGAAGAATAACAAGAAGAAGCAGAAGAAGCTCCGCCACTACTGCCGCAGCGTCCGGCCATAAGGTGCCAGCGCTCGCTATTTTGGCCGCCGTTAGTGACTGGGCCCATGTGCACAATGAGCGACAGTCGCCGGCTGCTCAGCCTCGCTGCGTCATCCGCTCAATGGTCACAAGTGCCATGAAGGCGTTCGATACCGATATGCGTGTGTGCCCAGGAGAGGAGGGGGGGGGGCCTCAATATTTTGAAAGGAGCCGAGGCCTTACGTACGCCTTACAAAGCATTTCATTTCATTAACCATTTTCAATTTCTGCTTTTCTCATTTTTTAACTTCCTAGTTTGGGAAATTGTTATTACACAAAGAGAACGCGCTCCAAGCCATTTGATAACCGTATAATTTATTTAACATAAAATCAATTGTTATTTATCAATTGAATAATAAAAGATATAATTTTATTTTCTTTGAGTTTTATCCATATACCAGAAAATATTTCGAATAGGTCTAAAAAAGTTTAATAGGGAAGGGGGACCAGGAATGTTGTTTGCCCCCTCTTGGTTTATGCTGCGCACGGCTGTGGATACATGTTTTTAGCGCGGATATCGCAGATAAATTTAAGAAAGATTGATTTGTAGCAATCGACGCTTTCTATGTCTTGGTAGTAATATCACTAATGCAAATACAATTAGAGGCTTCACAAAACCCTTGAGGCACGCCTACCATTTTAAGTGTCGCAGCAATCTAATCGCACAGGGAAAGGTGTGGGGACTTGTGGCTGGGATGAGCCACAGTGGCGGCCACACGTAGTTGCGACTAGTGGCCGAATATGAGCCCGGCGTTGCTGTATGTTAGGAGTGAGGAGGGCAGAGGAATGAGAATGAAAGAATCAGGTTGGGTCCATGGGCCGTTTGTTCGCCTGGTATCCATCGGAGGAACCATAAAAAACTACCGATCAGAGCAGCCGGCTGCTAGAATTCTCCTTCTCTGAATGTGGTGTGTATTTTGATTGATTGATTAGTGATTCCGGGCGCGTCAACTGCGGTCGTTAGTCCCGTAGTGTCACCATGGGTGGTGGTGATCTCCCACTGGATGGTGAGATGCAGCGCAGACCTACCATCGGTTATCGGGGTTTTCCCCGACCAGGTATCTCCCACCAGCGAGGCACCGCCCTAGACAGGACAAGCTCTAAGCTCCTGATCGGTCTCCCGGCATGTGTGGTAGTATAGTGCATGTTAGTGAAAGGAGTGATGATATGACAAGGAAGAGGTACTCGGCCCAGACATTAATATACACCCGAGCGCTGACCATCATGGCGCATACCAGCCCTGAGGGAGACCACGACAGGATGGCCGAAACGTCGACAACACAGCCTTCAACGCGGCGTCACCCGGACAGCCCAGATCACCCACATGACTCTGGCCGCGGAAGCCAACGACTTCAAGGAAGAGGTAGGAAAAATAGCGCGCGGTCCGTGGCCCGTTTGTTAGGGTACTACTCCGGCATTCGCCTGGTATTGATCGAAGAATCTACTGGAAACTACCGATCTGAGCAGCCGACCGCTAGAATTCGACCGTGGGGACTGGAAGGTAGGACCTCCCGGACAGAGACACTGCAGTGGCATGCCCTGAGCCACCGGCGTGGCGCGGCGGCGCGCACCGTCTGCGTCTTGGCCGAGAAGTGCTGGATGACGGGCTGGCTGTGCTTGGCGAAGGTGTCGAGGCGCTTCTTGATGGTCTCCTCGTTGTCGTCCACGCGGCCCGACGTCAGCGCCCGGCCCAGCAGGCGCTGGGTCATGGTGGCGGGGCTCACCTCGAAGTACAGCACCACCGTGCAGGGCTTGATCTGCGCACACACGCGCAGACACGCATCACACAAATAATGTGAGTGGATCGCCACAACCCATTAGGTTGTGAAGGCACGTTTCCTCTGCAGCATGACTCTGAACTCTTAGTTATATAAGTACCAACATCCTTGTGAATGAATGATTTATTGGCTCAATGTGTTTGAGCCAATTCATTCATGCATGTACTCATTCATTCACAATGATAAAGAATTATGGCAGCAATAGAGTATCATTCAGAGCCATACTTAATAGGAATAAAAGACTTCGCCACTTCGTGGGTTGGGCAGCTCTGGTACTGAAACTCTGGTACATATATTGATACTCATATATGAGACACATAATATGATCATATGTTTATACGTATGATACTTTATGATCATGCATATGATATGCTAATAAATAAAGGGTCTTATCCTTTATCATTATCGTTACGAATCGAAAAACCGAATGGCGAGAACTACGACATTGTTTCGTACTACAATTAAAAATGACACGTTATAATTGATAAAAATGAAGTAAAATGCGTTGTAATTTATGCGTCGTATTATCTCAGATAGATTTTATGTTGATCGCTTAGATTAGAGCCTTGTTATGAACAACGATACACGTAGTAAAGCGTCAAGGGTCACTTAAAAAGGTAAAAAGGTACGTTGGAATTAAATATATCGGAAATTATTTATTTGACAGAGTCAAGAAGGTTTTATGTTAATTTCGTAGGGCGAGAGCCGGAGCATCGTCATGAAATTGAACAACTCTAGCGAAACATTAATTTGCATTAAAGGTTGAGGTTATTTACGAGTTCAAGATGCACTACGCTGGCGGGTGAATATTATCGTTCGCCAGGGAAGGAATTTTTCACGTTCGTTATTATAAGCGAGAAGAGCTGAAGAAAACAATATAACAATTTACAACAAGTTTATACACTTCTATTTTCAATAATAATTTCCATTACTCTCGCCAGCATGTATGATATTCAGCGTAGTGTAGTTATTGTTTATCGTCATTATATAAATAATATTATACTGTTTTATTAATATTACAATTTCTTCTGTACTACAGCGTCTACAAATCAAAATATCTTCATTTTACAGTATAAGATTACAAACTTTGAAGTTACCTAATGAAAATTCTAAAGAACCATGGAGTGGGAAGCATACCTGTTCCTCAAATGCAACTCCTTGTGCTTCTTCGCGAGGGTAGCCGTCGATGAGGAAGCCCTTGGAAGAACTCAGGTTGGCCAACATGGCTTCTTTTAGCAGGTCCAACACTACCGTCTGCACACACACATAATCATACTCATTACTACGTTATGTTAGGTATCGCCGTAATGTCCACTATGTCTTTAGCTAAGATATTGCTAACGAAAATGGTGGTTCCAGTTCATAAATGTAAAAGACAGTAAATATATTATATTTTGTCCCAAACATTGCCTAATACGACAAAGGTAAAAACGCTCTTACACTACAAATTCTCCATAAAATTCATAGGTACACAGAAATCAGAAAGGTTTAATAAATCGTGGTCAAAATATTTCAAGAATAACGTGAACGTCTACAGAATGGTGCATTGTGATCAAAATGGAGAAATGAAATCAATAGCAATCGTTATATTTTTTGTCATGGAAATAATTCATCTCCGAATATCATTTTGTGCTATTCTGGTTTTCTCTTTAATACGATTTTTTGCGGCCAATATCTCATCTCCGCACCCAGTTTCTTCCAAAATGCTGGTTAATTCTGATGTTAAATAGAGATGATATGCGCATTTCTTGTTTGTCAGACTGTAGGCTGCAGCGCATTCAGTTTTTGGTACGATCAAGTTTTAGACTTCAAGCTCTTATGAATTACTGTATTCTCGATTTTACAATGTGTTTCTTGTGTTAATCAGTGACTTTCGAGTACTCTGTGTTTTGAGCGCAGACACAGAAAAGTACGTAAAACGTTTTGTGAGTTCTGCAGACGGTGTATGGTTGAAAAGTAATAAAACATGATGTAATATCTTGTTTTCGTTGCATGCAAATTTATCAAACCAATCCCCTGGACTGATTTGAAAAACGGTTGACGTCAAAAGAAATGCCGTCAGTGTTTGTTATATTAGCATGTAATTATTGTTCTGTTTTTCTTTCTTTTAAATTTTGTTAGAGAAGAAATGAATTTTTATTCAATGTTATTTTCTCATCGCTTTAAAGTAAAATACTGATGTATTCATGAGCCATTTTAACCGCATAAATAAAAGTGCAAATTTACTATGATATTATTGTAATTAGGGTTAAACGTGTGTCTTTTACTTCCAATCGTCGATGCAGAAGGATTGTTAGTTCTAAAATTTTGCAGTAGAACTATTTTTTTCGTATGCTAAGGTGAACTGTTTATTTCACCACATGTCTTTTCACCACATTCAAAGACATGTTTTTTCTCTGTATACTAGTTGTGATGTTAATTACCTTTATGAAATTTTACCAGTAAGACGGGGCTATTTTTAAACATGTACTTATTTTGTAAACGGATTATAATTACAAATTACGTATTTGGAGATTATCAGTTTTGCACGGACAATACAATTATGTTCCATCTCCATTCAGGAAAATTGATTGATTGCATCTAGATATAATATCCGTTTAGGGAACGCGCACATGTTTCGATGAGCAGAACATCTAGTGGCCAGCGGGCGACTAACAAATAGTTGCCAACGGGCAGTGCCTTCCCATGAGCTAACAATACCATCTGGACCCCTTCCAATTACACCAATTTAAATAAGTTTAGTACCTGGAAATTCCAATGTGAGATATTCTCGATAATAAATTCGTACTAAAATTGTGCAAAATGACGTGACAAGTTGTTCTGATTCAATGAAGTTGACAGTTAGCAAATTTATTTTAGTTACATGTATGTTACACATAACACATTTATTTGTTCTAGATGGAATACATCGTTTAGTATAATAAGTTTACAGATGTTATTTTTAGACTTATGCTTGTTTAAATATCTAAAGTATCTTAATGTGCACATCGAAGAGGATACTCTAGGGGAGGTTCTCAGGAGAATCTATTTTTTATTAGGGTAAGGGTTGAATTTTTCACAAGTTTGAAATGGGATGCTGCTGGGGTGTTTGTTAAGTTTTGGTAGAAAGTATATGATACATGAGCTATTTGGTTTATACTTGCATTGATGTTTAGTTTTGAATGGAGTTTTCTATTACTTATGAACCAAAGGGCGATGATTTGTGATTGAATTACTTGAATTTTATTGATATTTCTGGGGACTGTGTTTGTCGATACTGGGCATGCGCAGAGCATTAGTGGCCTAATTATACCTAATTCTATATAGAGTTGTAGATTTTGTGTATAACAGAAATTTGGTTGTTGATTAGTGGCTAGAGTTGGTATAATTTACTTCATGCTTGTTTAATTTTCATATCTATATGGGTTTTTCAATTTAGTTTTGCGTCCAGGTGAAGTCGTAAGTACTTTATAGTGGGTTCCAGATGATAAGAGTTAAAATAGACTATGATTAAAAATAACCCCGTCTTACTGGTAAACATTCCTTAAAGATTATGGTTGTGATGGTGGGGTCTATGTGATGAGGGATCATATATGCTAACGCCAATACTTTTTAAGAATGATTTTTATCTCTTTAAGTGTTTCTTATTCTTACTGGCTCAGGTATCTTCTGCCCTTGACCATGAAAGTGATAAAGCGTCACGAACTTTAGGGATGAAATTCATTATATAAAACTAAGAAAAATATAAACATAAGATGAAAAACTCTAATAAAAAATTTGACATCAATTGTGAATACGATTATTATGAATTCAAATGGATCCCCAATATATTCGCTGTTTTTTTTTTTGTTTTTTAATTTAGATTTAAAACTGGAAGTGAATTTGATTGTCACAACCCATGACTCATATAAATGATACATGAAATGATACATGATACAATGATACATTTCTATTTTATCACTTGTATTTTACGAGATATCGAGGTAACTTTTTTAACTGATTTAAATAACACGAAATTGCACAGAATACATTGTACAATCATAATTATTTATGTTTTTTTCATGATCATATTAATGTCCTGTGGTATGAAACCTCATTAAACGGAGTTGAAGTAACAAACAATATTATTTCTATACATACTTATGACAAATCTTTGTTGAGAATCCTTCACTTCTTCAATCAAAGAAAGACAAAAAATCTGAAAATGCTGAAGGATGGAAAGCAGACTTCAAGCAAAAGTTGCAACAGTTTTATGAAGATTTACATACATATGTTTTACATACATATATTTTAAATACATATGTTTCGTATTTTCAAATGCTTCGACAGCTCCCCTTTCCCGAGGGCGTTAGCAGGGCAGCGCTGCGTGACCTTGTGTGGCGGGCCGAACAGCCCATTCAAAATACCCGTTAAACACGAGAAGACAAATTCCTAATTACTCATAAAAAGCTTATTTAACATATGAAAATATGTAGGTCATGGGATTCATATTTTTACGCTCGTCGTGGGGGACTATAATAATAAATTTAGTTACATTTGAAAAAAAACAAACAAGTTTTCTCAATATCTCGTAAAGTACAAGTGATAAAATACAAGTGAATACATGTATCAGTTAGCCTCATTTCTTCATGTACTTCCATAAAAATACATTAAAATAGCTTCAACCATTCAAAAACTGCAGAAGGTGCTTAAGATACGCGACTCATCCTCCATAATCATTAAAAATAATTGATCATTTTTTCTTTGTTTCTATTAATTATTTCACTACCTGAAACACAAGTCTAACAAACCAAAAAATATAGCAGTTATTTCTTTGGGTGTAATAATTTTATTACATATTATTTCTTGGTTTTATGTTTGATTATCAATTTGCGTCGATGGTGAGTACAGTTAGTAGGGACTCCACAATGATGTGAGTATTTCCACTGTATCAGAGAGATTCCAAACACGCAGGCAGGAAACAGTTCCCAACCACCGTGCATTTTGAAATATAAGGAAACTACGAAATAAGCGTGCGTGGTCCCACCGCTGCACCACTGCCGCAACAAGGAGAGATGGCGGGAGCTAGACAATAGTAGCGGCCCTGCTATTATCAGTGAAAAGCAAATGGAAATATTGCCCATGATTGAGTGAAATGCCAGTGTGGCCTACGGTTTTCATTAACGAACTTTATGGGCATCAGAAATAACCTGGACGCAACGACGCGGTCTGGTGATTCAAGAACATCCAGGAAGTAGTCCGCCTCCATTTACCATCAAAGAGGAAGGACTTGTAAATGTATTTTTTATAATATATTATTATCAGCAAAAAAATTATTTTCCAATTAGAAACCCAAACAAGACGTATAGAATTATAAAAAAAGGTTAATACTCGTACATTTATGTAGAGCAGCGTTTGGACAATTCGTACATTTCTATATCCTTTTGTATGTTTTTTCCTCCTCTTACCCAATAATATGTTACGTCTGTTTTTGGGTGCCTAATTGGAAATGGTTTGAGCGGCGGGGGAACTATTTTCCTGTGTCTGCCCGGGCTCGAAATCTCGCCGCTGCGGGAGGTTGGCAGCACCGACTCACCATGGGCACGAGCTCGCCCTTCTGCATCGTCTCGTTGAGGTTGGCGCCGCGCGCAGAGCCCGAGTTGACCTCGTCGCGCAGCAGGTCGCCGGTGGAGAGGTGCGTGTAGCCATACTTCTTGACGATCCGCTCGCACTGCGTGCCTTTGCCGGAGCCGGGCCCGCCTGGAACGCCCGGAAACGCGTGGTCACACACGGCCGCCCAGAGGATTTCTGTCTCCCATGGTATAGCTACTGTTCCAGCTGGAGCGATAAGGCAGTATTTAAAAAAAGATAGTTTACGCAACAAGGCCGCGAAACAGGTTATCCACGCACGAGCGAAGCTTGGGAATCGCCTCGCGCCCGTGTTGCGTATGCTATTTTTAACACGCCGTGAGCGAAACGCAATGTGTCAAGTAAAGGAATATAAATTAAATATCCAATAACTAGAAATACCTTACTTGTACAAAAGTAAATGGATTCCAGTCAGTGATGTAGCACATTGGTTTGTAAATAATAAAGAGACATCTTCAAGGCGAAAAACAACAAAATAGCTATTGCGCACCCGGAAAACAAGACCAAAAAACGGCGTTTCGCGCAAGGCGTGTTAAAATATTTTTTTTTTTCAACTCGTGGCATGTTGGAAGTGTAATGGAAAATCTCGCGGTATATTCACATTATTCTCTTTATAAATCCTACAAAGAAAATTAGTTTTTAATGTTCTAAATGTAATGTAATTACCGAAAACTATTCTTAATATAATTAAGAATATAAATATTTATTTATATTTTCTACTTGCGAAGAATGACAGTAATTTTTTTTGACACTTGAGAAATATGGCAGCAATTAATAAACTGGTGTCGTTACAGTCATTCAGAGTGGAAATTGAAAATTAACGATTAAAGCTATAGAATTAGTTTAAACTAATATTTTGTGGCTTGGAGAAAAAAAATTGTGCTTCAAGAACCTATTAAAGAAAAATGATTAATTTTCTTTACTTCCTTTCACGGTTCGGTTTGTGTTCTGGAATCGTCTCTCAATGAAAAAGGTCATCACATTCACATTTTAAATTGAACATCTGATCTGTGAACATATCAATGCAATACAGTTAACTACCAATTTACAAATCCCTAATTAATTTTAATATCGCTGAGTTATGACGAGCGTTTGTATCATTTCCCCTGCCTGATACATAAATTTTGAAAAAAAGGAATGTTACATGTCACTTTGACGAAATAAGTCTCATATTTTTATGTGGTATGTTTAATGTATTGAAGTCCTTTTCTTTATTTTCTGATTTATATTATTTTTAACAAATTTAGAAGCAATATGGTCAATAATGTTATAATATTGTATATACGTTCCTAAGTAGCGATTTTATAATGACATTGAGGAGCCCATTCTAGTTTGAATAATTCATTTTAATATCTAAAAATGTCAAAATTGTTAGAAGACTTACCCAGAACCCAGATGATAGGAACGTTGGATGAGCGCAGAGGAGTTAGATCAATCTGCTTATTCGGGATCTCAGGCTGCAAACAAGAAGTCATTTATATTTCGAGTCTTACATTTATATGTAAAAACATGCTATGGCTGTCGAAGCAAATAAAAATGTATTAAGCCAATGCTGCAACAGAATTAATTTCTTACAAAACTGTGAAAGGGGTGTTCACAAATAAGACCATGCGAAGTAACTACCTCAATTTTTTTCGAATCATTTGCATGATATCACTAGACAGAGGTAATTAAGTCTAATTTGTGTAGTTTCGAGGTTCAATTAAGAAGTACTTTATGGTTTGTTTCAGTTTTTTTTTATAAAAATAGACAGTAATCCAAAATTAAATACAATATTTCTTAATAAGTTTATTTCATTATGTTATCTCCTGCATTTAGTTGAAATGGAATTTTTGATCAATATTTCTGGTACAGAAGCAGTGAAATTGCCAGGATTTCCTCTCGTTGCTTGAATGGTGGTGGGGAGTGGGAACTTTACAAACCTATCTTTGACGTAAAAAATCTAGAGTCAACTAATGGTCACTCTTCTACGGAATTTCTAGAAACAGAAATAAGATATTTGGACTCATTTTCATTTCAGTGTGAAAAATAATAATCTTCGTGTTTATGGTATTCTTTTAATGGAAATGAAAAATTAGTTTACTTTCCACTTCACTAATTGCAGAAATACATAAACATGAACCGACATTACAATATTAAATGGGATGTTTTTTTATTTGGGAGCACATCTAGTATCCTAACTACGTGGCGATTCTCAACGCAGAATTACATTTTTTCATTTCTCATTTACTAAAAGTAGCGGCCAATAATTTGTGCTTTAATTATTATACAACAGTAAAATCTTAATTTCGTCTCAGTAGGAATGGGAGCATTGCTGTCTTCTTATTTGTCCGACCTAATGCAGCATTCCCTGTGTTAATCTGCCACTGTAGTCATCTTAATCACGCGCATTTGAAGCGCAAATAAAGTACATATAAGTGCAGAATTTTTATTCTTTCAATATTCTCTAAACAATTAAATGTTATTCGATATAATTCAGTCATCTACGCGTTGTAACAATAGTTGTAACTCGTAACATTTTCCATGTATCCTTAACTATATTTCATTCTGAAATAGTGTTTCAACTATTTTGAAGTCAGTTTCATGGAATATAACTTTTATCCATTGTTTTTAACATTGTCAATATTTTTTTCTAAATTTAAACCTGTAAAAATAAATCATAATGTGTCTCAAAATGTTGCACTTTATCTGGACATAGGTCCACCCAAGTGGGTTTATTGGTTAAGGGTACTGTCATAGTGAATCCGTGTTCGGCAGAATTCTCATTCTGCCGAACACGGCCGTTTACAAATTCGACCTAATGCGTGAGCAGGCCTGATGCGTTCTAGTGAACACGACGCGCCTTCCAGCTCCACGGAGCGGAAGCTGGAAGCGTGGTGAGTCAAATGGAGTTGAATTCTTTTTAAATTTACTAAAGTTCGCTTTTCAACAACTGACGTCACACTGCGTCCACTGTATGCAACATGGAGGTAACGACTGACACACAAACGTCCATGCCACGGGCGGGTTCAAATGAACCCGCGACCCTTCAGGCACGTGGCAACTATGGCTCTTCTGCCTTTGTGATCTCGGCTATCCAGGCCAACAAAATTGAATTATTGGACCAATCTGAGCCTACAAACATAGAAATAAAGAAACTGGTTTCGTTAGTCTACGAACGAAAAGTGTCTGCAAGACATCCGAATACATTCTCCGAAATTATGACAGGAAATTGCAAATTTGATGATATTTTCTGATTGCTTAATATTTGCTGGGTTGTCATATCAATAATCCATATCTCATATTATATATAATGCTCAACGAGAAGGGTTTTTCCTACTCTATTACATGTCACTTATAAGAGATGATTTGAAGAATTAATGCCAGGAGCAAACGCCAGTGCAGTGTCACAACTGCTAGTTAAAAAAAGGGGATAGTGTTAGAAAATGCGGGCGTTCTCTCTGCCACGAGAGAATTAATTAGTGGAATGACCTCTGGTACATGCCGTGCCTCCCCTTTTAACCAAAATTATCAGAGGATGAACTTGGCGTTTATGCGACAACTACCGTTCCGTAGAGTCAGACTGCCGTTCGCGCCGTTACTTCTTCGGACGAACAATTCTGACAGAATCCTAAGACGGTCCATGATTCACAATTAAATGTCTTGCTCACAATTCTCAAGTTGGATCCTTCTGTACAATCTTTATTGAATTCTTCAGACAAATCTTACCAGCTGGCCCCTTCCGCAGCGGTTACGTGGACATGGTTGTTGATTCATGAGGAAGTGAATTACCTCTCATCAAATAATCAGAGAATAAATTACGATTTTGGGCTTATGTTGATACAAACCAACAGTCTCGTGCAGAAAAAGTGGCTACCAAGCAATGATTATCCTCATTCGGTCTTTGTTGTAGAAAACAATAAATGGAATAACTGTAACAATTAAGCATGCAGAAACTTAATTTATCCTCTGTTGATGAATGAAGAAAAAATAATTTTAGTAGTAGAAATTTGGGGGGATAATGCACTCACTGAGAATTGTTTTCCTTGAGTGCCTCTTAATTATCAAATTTAGTTCAATCGCATTGCATTATATGTCGAAAGATATATGATGTTTATATTTCTCACATGAATATCACGAAATTTAACATTCTGGTTTGAAATGAAGTGTTGTTAACGACATTCGCACCCTTATAGATATATATATCTGAGGCGTTCTTTTGCCTGAAGACTTTATATTCCTATTAAGTTTTTTCGGTCGCAATGCGTCCATCTTCAGTGCGATTCTGGGGCGGTTGGGGTTGACAAAACAGCTGGTACGGACAAAATTGCGAATTTTCTAGAGAAAACTCTTATTGCCGAGTTCTGATAACGAAGATGTGAATAAATCTTGTTCCTATGTTTTGTAGTTTCTAACACGTGGTTTGGCCAGAATCAATTTTTTTCTGGTCCTTAATAGCGAAAAATCGATGAGAGCACAACATCTGCCTGAACATTTGTCTGTCCTTAAGTGTGTACGTTCGTCTGTGGTCAACACTAGCGTCTGAACCATTCAGGCATTTTTCTTGAAAATTAATATTCCTCAATCGTTCTGAACGATCTCGAGGTTTTGGGAGTTTCAAATTATATTTTTATTTCTGGAAGTTATTTACATGGAGCCTCAAGAACATTTTCAAAATTTTCTCAAACATCGGTCCAAATTTTTGGATTTAACTTTCTCGAATAGCGTAAAGATTGTTTAAGAAGTTGGTGCAGGGTTCATGTTCGAATTGCAAAAGTGCAAATTTTTTGAGAGCGTCTTCCGACAATTAAAAGATTGAAGATAGAGATTTTTTCCTCAGTGAAATTGTTCTTTAAATGCAAATCTTGATATAAGGACATGTTCAATTTTTCGAAAATATGAGTAGTTTTCGTGTAATTTTGCGCAAAGTACAGGCAATTATTTTTTCTCAAAAATAGTTCCAAATTTTTTCTTCAAACTTTTACCACTGATAGAAGATTGGGTGCTCAAAGTAATGTTGTCTCTCATTTTTGTTTAACTCTCTGAATTTTGGAAAATTGCAAATTTAGAAATAATTCGAAAAAGTATGTGCTGTTGTAACACCATTCGTTTGTAATTAAAGCAGTGAGGGGTAACATTTTTATTCGCTACTACGCTGTGTTTGATTTATGATCGCTCAAAAGCATTCTTTTTGTTACACCATTTTAAACGTCATTTTTACACCATAGAATTAACGTATTTACGAAAAAACTGTTTTATTACGTAAAACTACGGGGTCCATTTCAGACTTTTGAGGGAGGAGCACATCTTAGTAGTAGGATAAAATGTATTTTTGTTATTTCTATTATTCTTTGAGAGACGAAAAAACGATATTTTAAATACATAATAACATTCCATTTTTTTACTCATAAATTAAATATTGACTATCATACTCTTAATGTACATATCTGCTTCAATGAAACAAATGAAATTAATTTTGAGAGACTTTTCTTAATTCCAATTGGGGGAGGGGTAGCCAACGGGGAAGGGCAGAGGGATGTGAGAGAGACTATTTTCCAAAAGTTGGCACAGCGCGAATCGGCGGGTGCCTGCAACGGAGCGCTATGTAATGGTTGGCTCTCGTTCCGACATCGGCCTGTGATCTTCGCCGATTCGGGATCCCAGTGAACATGCGAGGTTCTCGTTTACGATTCTAATTCTGCATCTGCGATGTGTCTGCTTTCAAGACGCTCTTTCATGAGAACGAACGGCCGCAGGATGTCGACAGTTTCGCAGTCATACCCTGGTGGAAATTCCGATCTCCGTAAACAGCCCAAAAGTAAATACAGGCTGCAAGAGTGTTTCTTCTACACAAAAGAAATTATTTTCACAGTATATCTAATGAATTCAAATCCTGCACACGATTTTCTAGCAAATAGTTTCGGAAAGAAGGATCTTCTTTGAGCCATATCTGTAGTAACATTTGTTGACTCACCCGGGGGTTTATTTTAATTGTATTTATCATATAATGTTTTATGTTCATTTCCCGTGTTTATTATTTTAAGTTAAGTTTAAGAGTAAAAATACACGAAAATGTTCACATATGGCGAAAAAGTAAGATGCTTTCGAAATACCAAACATTTATATCAACTAGGTAGACATAAAAAATATAATATTTATTTGTTTGGATGGTCTTGTAGTTTACTCCCACATTCTTGAAATATCTTTAAGAAAGAGGTAATTGATATGATCCTAGATCGAGGTCTATATTGTATCCTTCAGTTACAGATAGTTTTTTCGCATCGAGAAGATGAACTTTAATAGTTGAGTACAACGAATATGCATATATTGTTTTAAGACATGTTCATTTACATAAAAAAGCACACGTAAAACATTCAACGCCGGTTGCTACATAATTGCTTTCTTCGAAAATGGGAGGATGCTTGTCTCCGTCCAGACTGAAGCTGTGGAGATGTGGAGGGTAGAATCGACGAAGGTGACACACATTTATAATTGTTAATATGTAAATTAGACATCTTTATTCTGATAATGTTTTGGGTAATATGATTTGCATCTATTTTATTAATATTTATTTATTAATAAAAATGTTGCAGCTGTTGTACCTGAAGATGTGAGTAATAAATTCACGAAATGTTGTATACCAACATTATTTTTCAAATATGATGGAATGAATAAAATGTACTGGTAAACACTAATGAATTAATAATTATTCCTAAATAAGAAAGGATAATATTCATTTCAATAGTACTTAAGACAATTATTGTTGGTGTACATTTTTATTTATTTACTTTTAAAATTTTTAAATTCATTTTTTTACTTTCTCGCTACAGCTTACGCAGTAGAGAGAGAGTTTTGTAATGCTGCACAAAAAACAGCAATTTTCGGCAGAAAACTCTTATTATAGGGCCCTGATAACAAAAAAGTGGACAAATTTAGTTAGTAAATTTAGAAATCATCTAACACATGGTGTACCCAGAATCCACATTTTGCGAGTTCTTCATACCGAAAAATCGAATGACGGCAAAACGTCTGTCTGTGAACAAGGCTGCCGGCTAAACCGTTCAGCCAATTTTCTCCAAAATTGGTCAGACTGATGTCGCGGTTCCTTCAATTTGAAACAGATGTGTTAATTTTGGGGCTACTTTAAATAAAGCCCCTGGAACATATTCAAAATTTTCAACAAAAAAATGGCTCCATCGTTGATTATATTTTGTTGGATAGTGCGAAGGACGCTTAATAGTGCTGGTCATATTTTCGTTGCAACTAATTTTTCGAAAATTGCAAACATTCAAATATTTTTCGGTCCCATTCCTACAACCACATTTTTCCCGTACTAAAATATGTTCCTTAAAGATAAATTTTGAAATAGTCATGTAGAATGTTTCAAAAATTTGAGTACGTTTCGCGTAATTTTGCGTGCAAATAGTGGCGGGAAAGTGCGTGCTGTTTCAGCACCATTCGCTTTTGTGCGCTTTTTGCATTTTTGCGTTTCCCTGTTCGCCGGGCCAGTGGCGGCGCGCGGGTCAAGTGCAGGGGACGCGCCCAAGGCCAGGGCGAGGGCCGCGTAGGCGCGAGAATAGCCGCGCGCTTGGCTCGTCCGCGCCGCCCCGCGCCGAGGAATCCGCGCCCTGGGCTAACGAGCCGCGGGCCGCGTGGAGCCGCTTTCGCCCACGAGCGCCCAACAACCGGCGGCGCGGGCGAGGGGGCGCCGCTGCGCGCTTCCTTGCACGAGCGATTCCGGGCTTTCAGCGACCGCGCGCGTTCCCGTAAGAGTGGCGCATGCTTCTTTCCTCGGAAAGTGAAGGTTGTATTCTCCCGTTGGGTGGTGAGATTCGCCGCGAACGACTAGCGGGGTTTTCCCCAACTAGGTATCTCCCATCAGCGGGGCACCATCCGAGCCGGAACAAGCTCTAAGATACTGACCGGCCTTCCGGCGTGTGTAGTAGTGTAGTGCAAGTATTTGTGTGTATGTGTGTGTGTAAGTAAAGGTTTGGATAGTACAAGAAATGGGAAGGTAAGATCGCGCACGATCCGTGGCCCGTTTGTTGGGTAGTACTCCGGCATTCGCCTGGTATTGCTCAGAGAAACCACGAAAAACTACCGATCAGAGCAGCCGTTCGCTAGAATTCTCCTCCACACAGCGATATAGCTAACTAGCTAGTATTGAAAATCTTGCCATCGCCTGGACTCGAACAAAAGAGCTCCCGGTCAGAGGCACTGTAGTGACATCAGTTGATGCCCTCAGCCACCTCTCCTGGTCACACGCAGGGTCCTGAAGCGACAATGTCCATGCGTGTGTTCGCTACAACTTCGAAATCGTTTGTGGAAGGGAAGCGCTTACATCGGGTCGATGTGTGTTATTCGAGAGTGCTGTAAGTGGATGCGTTCGGGTGGATTAATGCCATATACGTGCGTAGAGCGGGCAAGGGACACGTCTCTCCTACCTTTAAAGATTTTGAATGAGACTCTGAAACCTTACGTAATAAAACATTTTATTTCCTAATAAGTTCAATTCCTGATTTTCTCCTTTTTTAACCTAACAATTTTGGAAATTATACGACATGTGGAAAAAGACTCTCCAAGCCTTTTGACAAAATTATAATTACTTTAACAAAATATGCATAACCTACAAATCAAGTGTAGAGGAAAGAACCCAAACGCGGGCCCGGTTCCTAATGCGAGCTCTTTGATTTGCAGCTCTGTACAATGTTGTTGCCTATTGAAAACGTACTAAAATAGTAGTTCTTTGCGAGACTACAGCCCAGTCAGCGGTAGTTTCCACACCGTCACTTGTTGCCCGACAGTCGGCCATTTAAGCAGTTTTTTAAGTGCTTATTCTTAGTTGCCTACTGAGCTCTCGATGTAGGGTAATATAATTTATTTTACTTGCGTTTTAAAAATGTCAAACCAAGTTCAATCTATTTTTAGTTTTTCATTTATTTTTTATCTCTTTACATGTTAATATCAACGTGTAATGACAAGATGACACTGATATTAAGTTTTATATAGTGCGTAGATAATGAAATTTGATATTAGAATTGTATTTCAAAATTTAAATGTACTAATGTTAAAAAATATCATAGAGATTGCAGATGCCTGATGTTGAGTCGAAGAACACGACTCGAAACGTTGTGAACAAAATATAAATGCGCTATGAAAAAAATATAACAATAAAATTGACATATTTTAAATATTTTGTATTGTATTGTTAACGTTTAATGTTTTAATAAATTTTAATAATGTATTACAAGAATGACTTTAAATAATAAATAGACATATAAAATTTAATTCAATAAACTCTCTTTCCTTCGCTCATCAGTGACTCTCTCTGTCTCCGTTCAGTTTCTCAGCGATATATTCAAGTGACTATTTGGAAACTTAGGTTGACCCACTTATTTAACTTCTACGTTTGAGTTTCACTCTAGAATAATACCTGCAAATTAAATATTACCTTATATTGCATTCATTACATGCCGAATACTGGGTTTGGTATTTAAATACATTGTTGTGACAATGTCGATGTGTCGATATTTGTGCAAAATTAATCAGCAATTTAATCATCTTCCTCATCCACTATCGCTTATTTGTGGGAAACATCCTCTTGAGTATGCTAAAACCTTTATGGGTTAAACAATCATTTCGATCAGTAATTTTTCTTCGCTGTTACTATCTTGTTTCACCAGTGATTATAAGGCTCTTGGATCTCTTTAGACAGCACCAATTGTTGAAATGCTGGGAGTCATCGTCAGCATTACAGTATTTTAAGGTGATCTCATGAGCTTTTCCACACTAGTGTTGAATATCTGACCCACTCTGGGCACAACACATTTTTTCTTCAGCTCTCCTCGCGATTGTGCTATTACGCAACAAATGAAGTGTGTGTGAAATGTACGGAATATTGTATAACACGTTTCCGTAAATAGCAATATTGCATTACAGTTACGTATGTAGACTCGTCGCACTCATCAAACTGTACCTTGGATCTTGACCTATTGAACCCAAATGTAAATCGAATTTAATGAGAGTTCGGATGTCTTTCTGCAGCATCCACTACTCTCCATTTTCAATCACTCTCTTCAGAACTTAATTTCTAAAACCTAACACCTGCCTTAAAGGTCTCTTTATTAGGTTTTCAGAAACAATGAGTGCAGTCCTAATAAGAAATAGACGGCCTCTAAATTTATCTTTTCCCCATCTTCAAACGCATTTCTATAACCTCCTTTACGATATTATCATAGTTACTTTTTTGTCACGTTTGTTTTGACCCTCTATCGCTCTATCAGGCATGTAAAACGCGCCTGCACTAGGTACTTGCCTGGGAAGCTTGGCACCCCTGAGAGCACGGGCAATTTCCCCTCACTGCGCTCCATTTCCCCCTCAAACCAGACAGGGTTGAACACACCCAAGCTGAAGTGGCGCGTGACAAGGAATAAAGGTATTACACGAAAATATGTTTGCCAATTTTTTTCAATCATATAAAAAAGATTTGAGTAATTTTATCGCCTACAATTTGTACTTTATGTTTATGTACTTTCTAAATTATACCTTGTACAAATTTGCCAAAGGGTGGAAGTATTTTTGCATGCAAAATTCTTTCCTTGGTTTTGTTTTGTAATTAGTGTTATTAAGTTATGGCATTACGTTCATTACCTTTACAAGACTGTAAGTTAACAGTTCTGGCTTAAGGAAGTAGAACTCTTTAAACAAGCAACAATCTTAATCTGTTAAACCTTAACGTAGGAAGTTAAGCAATTATCGCACTCTCAAGTAGGTGCCATTACAAAATCAAGATAGTTTGGATTTAAAATAATTAGTTTTACTCGCAATTGACAATTTTAAATCTGACCTGTGTATAATTACATTTTAATGGGTAATTTCCTTGCTTTCGTAGAGGAAATGGGAATAAATATAAGTTAACGCTTAATTTGGGACAATAACTGTGCATTGACTTCTTCAAAAGACTGTATGGGCTAGGTATTTAGTGATGTTCTACCACTTGGGAGCAATTTGTACAACCCTAACGTGTAAATCTCACTGCAGGTTTTATGAACGTACTGCCCGCGAACTCTGGTAAGCTAATTACCTCGCCCACGATCTTCACACGCTTGTTCTATATCCATATTTTACGCAGTCAGTCCTTTCTCTGTACCCTTCAATTCTCAATGAAATACAAGTTGTGTTCAAAAAGCAGTGGACAGAGCTCTTCGCAAACCGCTTGACAGACCGAAGCGAGATCCATTGCGTCATTTAGAGGTGTTTACGGCAGTTACAGCGCCGCCTGGAGCGTCTCGCTGCGAGGTATTGGAGCCGCGCGACGGCGATTCTGTCTGAGCGAGCACTGGCCTGCGGTGCGATTGCGTCGGTGCATACGAAAAGAACTTGAGAGCAGCATCTGTGCGTTAAATTATGTTTGATTGGCATAAGTGCTATAGAGCCCTTCAGATTGACTTAACAAGCCTCCGGTGATGTAATTATGAGCCGATCCCATTTTTTTGAATGGAATAACCTATTTAAATCAACTTCTCTCTCACCAAAACAAGCTTGGATGCCTCGGTCCAACGGGAAAATTTGTTTTCTCGACTGGTAAGGACTGATTCATTGTGAAAACGATCGTAAAGGACAAACAGTTAATAAAGAATACTATGTCGAGATTTTGAAGAGGACAAGAGGCTGCTGTGATAAGGAAATTGTGGAAGGATTGAAAATTCAAATTACACCGTGACATTAGGCCGGTGTTTGCCTCGTTCCCTACGTCCGAGTCTTTAGCACAAACGGCACAACGATGACCCCGCATACTCTCTAATCTCCAGATGCGGTTCCAGCCGATCTTTCCTGTTTCCGAGATCGAATTCCACGTTGAATCGACGCCGATTTGACTTATGCGAGGACATAGAGAGAAATTGCACAGCTGACCTTAAGGCGATTCCGAAAGCAGCGTTTCAGAGGATAACTGAAAGCTAGAAGTTGGTAGCGGTATGTGGCTAGGCAAGGGCTGTACTTTGAAGGCGACAAACCGATAGAAGTGTTCGTTTCAATACCAACCCTTCGAACAGTCCGATCTTTTTTGGAACACATCTTGTATATATTAAAAGTATTCCGTTTAAATGTTTTTGCAAATGATCTCATTTGTTCTTACTATATTCCAAAAGAATATTTCTTATATTTTTTTAATTCGTGCATTTTTATGTCTGATGTGACGATATTAAGTTGAAATTATCAGTATCCAATAATGTTACAAAATTTTCTACGCAGCCCCAATTAATTTATTTTCCTTTATGGTTTGCAGACTGTAATATGAAATAATGTCCTTTTCTGAGGCGATGAAACTAATATATGTAAGTGAAAAACGTTTCTTTCATGAAAACTTCGTTTGAGAAACTTACACATGTGGTTCAAATTCATTTATGAATTCATTTTTTGCATAACTTCAAATTTCAAGCCTGCTATTTAATTTGGAAGTGGCAACAACCTCATGTTTCATTTACTGCGCAATGTTGTTACAAAGCATGAAGTTCCAACACAAAAAAAACAACAATAAATCGACGTCCTTAGAAATATAATCCATTTTTGTGCTTTGATACATCAGCATGTACTAAAGGACACAATACAAGGAAATAAAAATTACATATTTTGGCATAATGTTTCGTGAGTGAAACTTAAAAAATTACTTCATGATAGCCAAATTATGTATGTAGTTGTGTGTAATGTTTTCATAGGTTAATATCATCTCCAGCAAAAACTATGGAGCAAAAAAACTGTCTGCTGAGACTGCAGTCTCTCTATTCGTTGTAGATTAAGATATTTTTCTCTCAGTTCGTTGTGTGATCTTCAGTGATCTTGTGTTTTAATAAATGTTTACGAGATTCTCCCAAACCCAAAGCGAGAATGTTCTTTACGAGTTTCTAAAATTGTTTTATACAATTATTGATTCAATATTAAATAACTTATTCAAAGCGGTAATAAGGAAATCATTAGCAGATGATAAGTGAACAGAAATGAAATGACAATCCTGTTTTTGATTGTTATTTAAGTCGAAGGCATTCTGATGGTAGCTATAAGGTAGTATAAAACGAATACATGAAGTACGAATTAGATGTTTTTAAGAAAATAACTTCTTACAAAAAATTGATGTTACGGTGATTAATAGGAAATCCAACTCAAAAGTGTTCAGAAACACGAGTAAAAACGTGAAAAATAGACAGTAGCATGTTACTTGAAGTTTAAGGAAATTGTTTTTCTTCTAGTCAGAGATATAAACATTCTGTGTACCTTGGCTTGCTATTGGTTTGTGGTTATGAGTCAAGTTCAGTACTTTGGAGGTTGAAACGTATATCTGTTTGGAAGACTGTCAGCTATCTGCATTAAAAGCCGGTTCGTTGGTTTTAAAGTCAACAGCACCTCTGCAACGTGGTTTCGTACCTATTTTTATCCAAAAGCACAGTGTCAGCGAAACTGATCTTGACCGGTTGTCCGACTCGGCATCTGGCCATGTTTTCGCAAGTTCGTGATTGTTAGCTGACTAAAAAAATAATGTTACTCGGAATGATAATGTTTTTGTTGTGGAACTTCTATCGCAGATTCTTTGTAATGTTCTGTAACTCGGGTTCTTCCTAACATTCATTCTAAAACTAGATTTGAATATGAAACATCATACGAATATTGGAGTACTCTCAGGCCGTCTTTTCTAGCCCATTCCCCAATTTCCAAATTGTTTCATTTCAAATCTGTTTATGATTCCTTTTAGTTTTTGCATATTTTTTATGAAAACTTCTGAAATCGAGGTAAGAATGTCGTTTATAAAATGTACCTCCGCAGTGTGGGGTTTTCTTCTAAGCTGTCATGGTAACAGTTCTGTGACTCTAATGTTGCAACAATATATACGTACGCCATGCAGTCGTGCCTGCATTTCATGCTACATGCATTTTTGGATATCTTAGATATGCGATATTAAATTTGGAATATAATTTGTAAATGTATCATAATTATATGCCAGTAAGAAAGTCATTCAACGGAACGGAGAAGAGATTGAGGTTAAGACAACAATCGTCAAATAATTTCTTGATATAGAAGGGATATTAGTAAAAATTTTATGAGAATCATCCAAATTGGTGTTATTAAGCTAATTCTCGTAGAATAATTTCAACTCAGATGAAACTCCTCTGAGGGAGGCGCGAAAGTTGTTTAGTTATATTGGATTCTTAAATGTAGTTACTCCAACATACATACTTTCTCTTGCATGTACGAGCAAAGTATAGTAAGGTAATTTGAACATGACAGAATCATTTATTCATAATTTTTTTGTTTTCTACCACGAGGTTCTTCCGAATCTAAAAGGGACGATCTTCTCTCTGAAATTTTCCCCTGGTTTCCATATTCACAATCTCAAAGAGTCCCATCCTAAAGTTTTATGTAGTTTTGGATATGACAATAACATACAAAGTTATTTTCTCCATAATTCTTATATTTGATTCATACAGTCTCGTTCAATATGTAAAAAGAAACAGTTCTGCGATTTCCACATAAAGCACAAAACTTTATAAGCATGATCGATTATTAAAATAGCAAACTGAACTCCTGATTCATTATCTCTCGAGGATGTTTTCCGAGCTAAAAAAGAGGACAATAAGGCATTCGTAGAAATCTAAGAAATACCATGCTCGCGAAACGAGAAAGCGGGTACAGATAAACGAGGTTTCTACGGAGAGATCGTAAAATAGTGGAGTCGTGCAGCGGCGTTGCGACAAGGGACTCGGGGAGCGGGGCGGCGGTGAGGGTGGAGGCGGCGTGGCCTTGAGCCCTTTGGGCAGGAGGCCCAAAGGACACCGAGGCAGTGACACATCACTGCGGGCGGGCGGCACACTTATTTCCTAGTAGCGACCCAGAACGACGAAATTCAAATCGATTCCCGTTAGGTATTCATTACGAGAGCCATCAAACTGCTATGAGCGGTTCACGACAGCGGAGTTCTCTGAAGTTTATATTTTTGTTCATGTTAATCTAAAATCAATGTCTTGGAAGTTCTACACACACACACACACACACACACACAGCGCGCACACACACACACATCCACAGCGCGAACACACACACATCCACAGCGCGCGCACACACACACACACACACTCAGCTCTCTCTTACACACACACACTCAGCTCTCTCTTTCACACACACACACACACACACACTCAGCTCTCTCTTTCACACACACACACACACTCAGCTCTCTCTTTCACACACACATCAGCTCTTTTCAACACACACACACACACTCCAGCTCCTTCTCTTTCCACACAACACACACACATCAGCTCTCTCTTTCACACACACAGCACACACACACTCAGGCTCTCCTCTTTCACAACACACCACAGCTGCAGCATCTCTCTTTCCACCACAACACACACACTCAGCTCTCTCTTTATCACACATACACACACTCAGCTCTCTCTTTCTCACAACAGCACACTCAAGCCTTCTCTTTTCTCAGCACAACACACACCACTCAGCTCTCTCTTCTACACACACACACACACTCAGCTCTTCTTTCTCATACACAGACACACTCAGCTCTCTTTCACACAACACAACATCACACACTCAGCTTCTCTTTTCACAACAGCACAACACACACTCAGCTTCTCTTTCACACACACACACACACACACTCAGCTCTCTCTTTCACACACACACACACCACACTCAGCTCTCTCTTTCTCACCCACACACACACTCACTCTTTTTCTCACACACACACACACTCACGCACACTCTCAGCGCACACACGCACACTCTCAGCGCACACACGCACACTCTCAGCGCACACACACTCTCTCAGCGCACACACACACTCTCTCAGCGCACACACACGCACACACACACACATTCATCTCTCTCTCACACACAGACAGACTCACTGGTGCACACCCCCATACATCCTCATCCATAAACATTCATACTCATTCATTCATACACACACCCTACGCGCTCACGCACTTTCACTTTGGCACTCACATTGACTCCCTCCTAGGCACTGGAACACGCGCTCTCATTCAGTCGGTTACTCATACCAGGAATTCATGCTATTCTAAAGAACCGAAGTCGTGCAGAATGAAGAACGCGCCCTCCAAAATCGGGTCCCCTTCTCCAGTGGGCGTGAGGTTCCGCGCCCGGCCCGCCGCCTTCAGCCGCCCCGCCGCCGCCCGGCGCTCCGGCGCTCACTTACCATGGTGCTTCCGCGAGGTCCTCAGGAGGTCACGAGAGGGAGTACCGTCCGTGGCAGGTGCCTCTTGCCGCCGCTCACCGCTCACCTCCGCTCTGAGCGCTGCCTCCGGCCGCACGCCAACGAACGCTGCCGACACGCCGCGCCGCCGTAAGAACACAGGCCAGCGCGCACCCGCAGGCACCGGGTTATATTTGCGACCCCGCCTGCGGCACACGCCTCCCTCTCTCTCCCTTCCTCCCGCTCGGCCTCCTTCCTGTCCGCTCTCTCTCCCTGTCTCACCCCACGCCCCCACCCCCGCCCCCGCGGTGGAAATAAAACGCGTGTGATGGAAGCAAAACGAACGCAAGGTCGGAAGCAAGTTCATCGTCTTTGTAGTACTCCTGGGGAACAAAAAAGTGAGGCATGCACCTTGCACAATAATTACGTAAGCGAAACTTTCTCAGCTGGACTTTTCTTGCCTAGGAATTACGTGCGGGAATGGCCGAAGAAGTAGCGATCTGACTGATGCACATAATTTCTTGCAACGTTTTTTTTTTTCTTTTCGGATTTCAGGCATGAATCATAATTCGGGAAAACTTCCATCTGGTAAAATGGATGGCGGTGTGTATTGTGTTGAATACTTTAACGGACATAAGATATTCTTGTCAATTAAAGCTTTTTTTCATTTGCATATAGTCGATTCGTGGAAAAACTCGGAATGTAATACTCGTAACCCGAAATTATTCGGTGGAGGCTTCCTGTTTTAACAGATTACTTTCCTCTAAAGTTAAACATCGCTCAAACCACGCATTGACCCAGAGAAGAAAATGTTTTGCTTGATGAAGTAGTACAACAGAATCGTATTACCTGTGAGTTATTGAAGTATACTATAAGGGTAGCACACAACTGGCAAAAATAGTCAGCATAATTAATATGATTTGTTGGGTATTTCTATATCTTCAAATTGTAAATAACCCAAAGATTGTAATCGACAGAAACATGTCTAATATAGATTAAAAACGGAAAAGCAATTGATTCTAGCAGACTGATCACGATGCACTCCAAAGGTGATAAGAAATCCAAGATAGGCTAACAATCCACATTTCAATTCCTTTATGTTATCAATTGTAGCCGCAACCACTTCACAATAAAAATACATATCTTACAAATCATTTTTATAAACTTTATTCACAATTTTAAAATACTTCCTGTTCAAAACACAATTAATTGTAGAGCCGTTTTAAATGCAACTTCTCGTTATTTATTATTTAAAAGTTGAATGTAAATAATATCAATTCTCTGAGTGAAATAATTTCCTTAATATGTGTTCCCAGAATCTTTAAAATGAACATGCTTAAGATAGGGATGTCCTTCTCCCCTTAATCATGAAAATATTATTAATAATAATAATAATAATAATAATAATAATAATAATAATAATATTTTAACAATTACTTCGTAATAATAATAATACTAAAATTAATAATAATACTAAAATCATTATTGCAAAAACAACTAAACGACATCTTCAGCTATAAATACAATAATTAGTCATAACTAAGGGCCGATTTCGATGACCTAAAACGTAGCCAAAATGTTCAATATAAAAAGCTCTTAAAATGATTTTTAAAATTTCCTAAAAACAAAGAAAAATGACGCATAAAATTTCATCAAAACCACTTCAAATGAAGAACTCAAGCTGTTGAATATGTTACTGATGTAATAGAGGCTTCTTCCTTATGTTCAAGTGAACTGAGCCTACAAACTTTTGGTTTGGACTGTTATTTAAAAGAAAACCTCTGCCTTTATTTATCGCGAAAGAGGCCGAACTGACAATGGCGCCAATAAACTTCACAGGAACCTTAGATTACATAGTACTCGCAACGGCAGTCATTAGAATATACGAGCGAAGAAATCGAATAAGGTACTCAGGAATTCTGGGGTGAACTTTTTTTGCAACACGTAAATATCGTTTGAAGCAACAACCATTAAAATGATATCAAAATCGACAATATCAGCAAAAAACTCTTCGCATGGTCTTCATTCTATGAGAATCGCGCAATCCAAGATTTAGTACACAGTTCCTCACATCGACAACTTCGGACATAACTTCAGAACTCAAAAAATTGTTTCTTTTATACATGTTTCATTGAAGGCATGTTAGTTATTTTCACTGCAGTGCAGGAGCATGTTTACATTGCTTTACATGCTCCAATTGGGTTTGAAGAACTATTTACGAGCATTCGTTGTAAGTCAACATAAACTAAACATATTGCATCTGCAGCTTCTAGTCTTTCGTGGATGTTCGTTCAAGGGTTCATGCTCATTACCGCAACAATGTTATCGCTCTCCGTTGCAAACTTTGTCCCCATTGAGACTCCATGGACTTTGGTGAATGGTCACTTCTGCGATTCAAGTGCACTGTACATCGGTCAACTGAATTCGCACCCACACGTTTCATTCAAGGCCGTTCAGGACTAGCTTGAGCAAAATGTAAGATACCAATGGTTTAAAAGATAATGTGTTTAATAATAATAATAATAATAATAATAATAAATAATGAAAAAAGTATCTTTTAAGGCGTAGTGACTCGTTTGATTCGCGCTGTTCCAAGCCTACGGCGAGACATCTGCTTGCGGCCTCCGCGTTTTACATAAAACAACGTTGAATTTGGGCAACGCAAAATTACCAAAAACTCGTGTACGCCAAAATATTCCTGCAGATCAATTTCCGCCCTCATCTCTGTTCGCTTCCCCATGTGACCGCGAGCGTGTCCAAGCAAAATAGCTCTACTGGATTGTAGAGTCATTGTTTAATTGGCAATCGCATTCATTTCTCATCATTGAAAATTTATATTACTTACATTACTTCGAGAGAGAAGGTGATGAAGAAATGTACTGATGCATACTTCCGCCAAATACCTATACTTTTATAATCGATTAAACGTGATACGATTCAAAATACATTGAAACGTTCGTGTTTGCGGTTTTTGTATGAAACTTGCAGCCTACTTAAAGGAATTCATATTCGCAACGGTAAGAACTATCTTATTAATCTTGTGAAGATTCGATAATATCTTCAAATGTAGTCGAGTACGTGTGAACATTGGTCACTTCCGGCTAAGAACGAACGATACGGCCTCCAGCAAATGGAGCAAAACGCTAAACGCCAGTGGCGCGTTACCTTCTGATGCAATCGCGAGGGTCGCCGCGCTGCGCTGTCGACGCGCCGCTGTGTCAACGCACGACTGCGGCGCGGATGCGGCGTTGTAACGCATCGCGTCACGGCAGCCGCGAGGGGCCGAGGGGGGAGAAGACAAGTGACGCTCAAGGACGTGCCTCCTCGCGCGCCGGCACGCGCCGGGAGCCCTGGAGTTCACGCGACGTCACGCCATGGCGTGGCCACGGGAAACGCCAGGGGAACTCCGGTGGGATGGGTACGTCTAACGCGCGTTCGGCTCTGCGTGTAGAGGCCTCGGATATTGTGAACTGAAGTCATTGGTCGCGATCCACATATATGACAAGTAAGCACTGGACTATCCGAATGTAGTTAACTCTCAACATCGGACTGGGAGAGGTGGCTCAGGAAAAAAATCTGAAATCGCTGCGGTGCCTGTGACCGGGAGGTCTTAGGGTTCGAATCTCGATAGGATTTTCGACACTAGTTAGGTCACATAGGTCACACATTAACACACATAGCTAGGTCGTGTTTACTCGCTGCATGGAGTAGAGTTCTAGTTTCCAGCTGATCTGATCGTAGGTTTTCGTGGTTTCTCCGATCGGAACTAGGCGAATGCCAGACCAGTACCTTAATAAACAGGCCATAGACCGCGAGCAATGGTTTCCTTCCTTTTTCTTTTCCTATCCTCGTCCCTTACGTACACACAATCACCACACTACCACAGATGCCGAGAGACCGGTTTTAAGCTTAGAGCTTGTTGTGGCTGGGGCGGTGCCCCGCTGGTGGGAGATACCTGGTTAGGGAAAACCATCATAAGCCGACGGTAGGTCGGCACCGGATCTCGCCATTCAGCGGGGGAAGATCACCGCCAACTCACCCGATAAAAACATACACTACGCTTAAGGCGCTAATAATCGTTTCAGTTGACGCACCCGGAATCGCTAATCAATCAATGAATGTCAACATCTTTTTTAGACAACATAGTAAATATAGACATCAGGAAAAAATACACTAATTCATATAACACTAAAAGTTTTCCGATAGATGGTCTCGGGAGTTGTTTTCGCCACACCCAGAAGAATGAAAATGTTTGAGTGAACTTTTCCACTGAGGGAATTATTTTAGCTCAGCAATTCTGTTCAGCCTGAAGTCCTCATTGGTGAAGATCGCAAATTATAAATAGTAAAATCTGATCTGACTAAAACGTCACTACATCATTTATCGTGTCTAGTGAACTAAACATGTTTATCACCCAGAGGTACACTACCTCTAATTGCAGTCGGCTGTACTGATCTGATTCAAATTGTAAAGACCGGCTTCTCTGATCGTTATGTTCCCGTGGTTCCGCACATCAATACCAGGAGAATATCGCAGAAGTGCTTTAACAAATGACCCATTGATTGCGCGCGATCTTACCTTCTACATACTCTTTCCCTTGCTTCCCCTTACATTCACACTCACGCACACTTACACGCACTACATTACTCCATGTGTTGTCAAACCATTCGTGAGCTTAGAGCTTGTTCAAGCTGGGCGGTGCTTCGTTGGAGTTAGAAACCTGTACATATAGGTAGATGTAGGTATGTACATGTAAACCTGATATGTTAGTGCCGGATATCAGGACACCATGTCCCAGAGGCTCTCCGCCACCTTCCGGGATATAACACTCACTACACTCACGGGCATAATGGCCTAAGTTATTGGCGCGTCCGAAACAAACTCACCCATTGTCTTACTCTCTCGCTCATACCCTTGTCACCCAGGGCAATATCAGCTAAACCATTCTGGTCTCGCGAATATCATTGTGGCTGTTTCACGGAATGGTGCGATCAAAGCAGCTGAGTGATCTTTAAGCGACAGGGAGCTAAGGTACCAAAAGCCCGGGACCACGTCTTCCACTCTTGTGAGTGTTTTCAAAGGTCGCTGCGCGGTTAGACGAGGGACAACCTTTGAAATGCACCGGGTGACAAAGGTCTAGGGTAACTATAATGTCAGAACGTGAACCGTAACTTTCAATCTTTCCTCAGCTCAAATGTACGAATAAAAACGAAATGACCCGGGAAGTAAAAAATGAAAATAAAAACTTGAGTATCGCCTTTTGTGTATAAACACAGCACTCATATTGGTACTTTAAAGACCATGGACTTTTTTCGTAGTAGTTTCATGTTTGTCATTAAGATTTTTTTCACATTTGGAAACGAAATGCGGTACCTAAATTAACTTTTAAACTAAAACTAAGTAATAAAAGTTAAAAAATAATAACATTTTCTTAGCAGTTTTCCCTCTTATTAAAAATGCGTATTCATCGTGACTCAATTTTCCGACATGCTAATGAAATCTGATGTCTTCATTGGCGACTTAATGTAAGTCTTCGATCAAGACGCTAGCAGACTTAACGCCAATGCGTTTAATAATTGCAAATTCATAAATTCCTTGTAAAAGTGTTAGCTTTGACAGATAATTTTATATAAATTTTTACCTAGATGTTTTCGGTTGATAGCCTAAAAATTGTCCAAAAAGTAACTACGAAGTCCATAAAATTAAATCACAGATACTCAGATACAATTAAAAAAAAGAAAATGTATTATGAACTGCTACGGTTGTAATACCGTGTAATTCAATGCTATCATAAGCATCTCGGAAGTTAAAATACAGGGACAGTGGTACATAATGAAAAATGTTCATAGAGTAATGAAATGTTTAGAGCATGTTAAGTTGTGCACTTTCATTTCGAATTTCAGCATTGAGATTTCGACAATGATCAATAGTTTCATTTATACACTGTAATTGTATATCACTATGCAATATTGAAAAGAACTACATTTAAAAAAAGAAAATGTATTATGAACTGCTAAGGTTTTATTATTCCAATTATCCATTATTATGATTCCAAGGATTCAGTCATCTGCCAATTAACACATTAGTTGTACACAATTTTGAAATAAACAAAACGCTTGCAGAGTGAACTCATCTGAATGTTATTAGGCTAATTTTCTCATATTCAATTAAAGAAAAAATCCAATAATTTAATTTTCAGTTTTATAATAAAATAAAAATAGATTATGTTTTGAGTTTAGTGTTTTAATGTGTTTGTAGTGCAAGTTTTCAATATCACTGTATTGAACTGTACCTGAAAACCCATTTTCGTTTTATCTCACATTTCATGTTTTTTTTCATTCATTTACATTGAAGCGGCTGAGGCGGGATGGTAACTGATTTAGGCATGGATTTCATATTCATTTTGAGACACCCAGAAATGAATGACCGTCACAGTGGCAGCCGGCGCATGTCTCTCTCGTCACTCCTCCGGACGCAACGGGGGCACTCCTCGTTTACTCCTCTGGGTTGTTCTCCCGACGAGGACGGGTGTCGACCAGGAGGGAACTCACGACGGGGGAGGGGTGGCGACGCGTAAACAGCGCTTGAGGGGTCTCCAAAATACGACACATGGTCCAGACGCATAGGCACGCTCTGCTTATAAATACGAGATTTTTTTCTCTTTACTTGGTATCAAGCAGAAAACGCAATGGGTCCTGGAAAGTATTACGAGTAGTAAACTTTAAAACGAAATGTCTCTTGAATCAAAGTAAAAAAAACTAAGGGGGAAGGGCCAGGGGAAGTTCTCTCCAAGTGGCGCCAATCTAAAGATGATACTAATTTGAAAATTAAAATAAAATTATATTATTTGCATGTCCAATTTAACGTAGTGATACTAAATCAGCACATACTTTCTTGTATTGTTAGCGGTTATGCAATGTCATAGAAATGTCAAAATGTATTACACTTTCTAATTAATTAACTCTTCAGCCATTACTTCAAAAAAACATGAAATGCTAATATTTTGAAATATTAGGGATATATGGAAGTACCCTTACGGAGGTCGCGGAAGAAATCTGGAATTGACGGATATATGACTCGGCAGAGGAGCGACTGTCAAAAACTGGGTCTGAATTGTTCTGAAATTTTACTGCAACGGCTTTAAACGTCCGTTATAGAGGAATAAATTGAATTAAGAAAGAAATATCTAGTCAATATAGGGGTAGGTCAAAAGAACAGGTGAAAATCTCGACATCGTATTTTTTTGCTTCATTATATTTAAATTTAGATTTATTCAGTCAAAAAAAAAATCAGTAAAAACTGTATATGACGTAGGGGGGGGGGAGATTATCTGTGCACGGTTTCTCGAGTTCCAGAATCCCTTCCCGTCATTTTAACAATAAATAGTTGAAAAATGAGTAAACATAGATTAAATAAACATAGTTAACATAAAATTTAAAAAAATAAATTTTAAAAATCACAAGATAAGCAATATTTGAAAAATGTTATTTTTCGTTTTTGAATTAAAGAAAACTTATTTGCATCGGTACACGAATTTGTAAGTATGATTTTTCTGCATTGCTAACAAAATAGCAACTCGCCCTTACCTCTACTTTTACCATTACAAGCAAAACGTTCGCATAGTGACGCTACATTACGTATCTCTTTCTATACTACTTAAACGAGAAAATAAGAATACAGTATATGCTTAATCGTTGTACTCTCTAAGCCACAATTTCTTTATTTTCTCATTCTTGCCAAAAAAACAGAACTTATTCTCTGATGAATTAGATATTTTAAATTAACTGGAAGTCAATTTTGGCACGTCTCAATTCGTTTCCGACTCCTTGACAGAAATCTCATTAAAGCAATGAACTTGTTTCACTCAACATTCTTAGGAGTTAAATGTTTCTCACTTACATACGTAAAATGTTATTTTACATTCTAGTATCACAAATTAGTATAATAACGGTAAATGCAATTTTATAAATTATGTTAAGATTTTTAAAATTATTTGGAATTATTATCACAATAAAAAACGTGACTTTCTTAATAAAAATGTTCATTTTAATTTCCAGTACGCTTAAAATGCAATAATAAAAAAACCGTTAAGTAGTATTTTACATTTCTCGTAACCACTCAATTAATTATACAGGTAATACATACTAAATTTAACATGCCACACGCAGAATTTGTTAGGCCACGGGTGTCTATCGTACCTACCGTGAAAAAATAAACGTGTTTTTATTTTCAATGAAATAAATATGGAATATACTGTAGTATTAATTTTTAAATTCGATTTAACTAG